TGACAGAATTGATTCCAAATAATGACCAGAAGCCTAGATATCATATTACTTACTTGTTGGCATGGACAAATAAGCATTTGAAGTGGGGTGGTTTGTGTTATCAGGGTGTCCTCTGCTTTAGCAGACCCTTGCTCAAAGTAGGACAGTAATGTGTGATAATTATTCCATCAGAGTTTCACACACTCTTCTCAGATGTTAGTAAAGTGTTCACAACTAAGGTATAAGGTGAACTCAGAGGGTCAGAGTGAATATAGATCATATATCAGTATAAATAAGAGAGGGGGGTAGGTAAAGAAAAACAAAATAAGTGTGAAAGGGGATAGATAGTATATTGACATCTATTTTTCTTCTGCTACAAGGAAACTGCCTTGTAGTTAAGAATAGGTAGATAGATCCTCAGAGTTAAATTGTCCTGACTGCCATGCTAGCACCTCTGCTTCTTGCATATCAGCCTCATCATGATTTCCTAGATGCCTATATGTTTCAGCTAAATCAGCTCTGATCCTAATAGTATCATGATGTCCAGGACCAAACAGGAAGGTGCATCCTTCTAGTATTGCTTTCTCCACCATCTGTGCCTCAGTAAACTTGTGTTGAGCCTTATAGGTTTTAGCAAGGTGTGCCTGTCCATGGATAGTATGTCGATGATTGGGACCAAGCATATGCAAGCGATGTTTTACCACTTCCCTTTCTAGCACCTCAGCCTCAGCATACTGGCCTAGCTCGATATAGACTAAAGCCAAGGTAGCTTGTGCAAGAATAGTTTCTGGATTCTCAGAGCCAAGCAGACGTGTATATTGCTCCAATACTGTCTTTGCTAATACTAAAGCATCATGATAATTGCCAGTTTGAAGATATTGCAAGGTCAATTTCTTTTGTATAGCAAGAGTATCAAGATGATCAGGCCCAAGGAGATTCATGCGGAGCTTTAACACTTCTTCCTCCAGCATCTGAGCCTCATGATACTTGCCAAGTATAGTATATATCTCAGCTAGATCAGCCTGTGCTGTAATAGTATCTATATGCTGTGGCCCAAGTGAGTATTTTTGCTGCTTCAGTATAGTCTCATATAATGCCTGAGCCTCAACATACTTACCCAAGCTTTTATAGGTTTCAGCAACTCTGGCTTGTGTAGCAATTGTGAGTGGATGATCAGGACCAAGTAGATTTGTCTGCCGCTGGTGTATTGCTTCTCTAAGTGCCTCAGCCTTAGCATAATCACCTATATGTTCATAGGTTGCAGCCCAGCTAACTTGAGACTCATCATCTTGTGGATAATCAGGAAGATGTGAATGTGAATGCTTTTCAAGCACCATGTTCTCAATGATTTGAGCCTCCAAATCATTACCTAAAGCTCTATGAGTCATAGCTAAGTGAGCTTGTGTATGAATTGTTTGTGGATGGTCAGGGCCAAGTTGATTTATATACTGCTCCAAGATTGCTTCCACCAGTACCAGAGCATCAGTATATCTGCCTAACCTCATGTAGTTTGCAGCTAAGCGTCCTTGGGCAGCAAGTGTATCAGGATTATTAGAACCAAGGCAGCGTGTGAGATCTTCTATCACAGCCACATCTAGTAACTGAGCTTTATGATAATTTCCAAGCTCCACATATGTCATAGACAGATGGATTTTTGCATGGATGGTCTTTGGATGATCAGGGCCAAAAGTATATGCACACTGAGTTAGCACTTCTCCTTCCAGAGCTTGGGCCTCAAAATATGATCCTAGATACCCATAAATCTCACTTAATGCCATTTTTGCATTAATAGTCCTGATATCATCATCTCCAACATACCACTGATACTTCTGCAACACTTCTACTGCCAGTATCTCTGCATGCTTCCACAGACCTGCTGCTGCATATATTTCTCTAAGATCCTGCTGAAAGCCCAGTGGAAGTGGAACTAAAGAGCTCAACTCTCTGGAGTGGATAGCTAAGAGAAATTGGTTTTCTGGTCCATTATGATAACAAGTGTGAGCAGCCATTCCAAGCAGGTTCAATACCAGCTGTTGCTGTGTGCACATGTCATTGATGGTTTCCTTGGTCCATTCGTGTACCAAAGGATGTATTGAGTACTTATCACCCTGCGCTGATATCAAAGAATATTGTTCAATCATTTGCATAACCTCCTCAAATTGATAGTCATCCCAGTGTCTATCACTGTCCAGGAAGGGAGCAAGGAAATCATATACAGGTTGTAACTGCTGTGCAGTAATCTTCTCTGGATCATTTTGATCATTATTCTGCAAATCCAAGTTGTACTGTGATGCTAACGCAAAGATAGTTGGACTGATCCTGTCATAATGCATCATGCAAAGCACTTGCATCACTTTTTGTGCATGGATAGGAAGGTTGTCAAAGCTAATTTTCCATGTTGTGTAGACAGTCTCCTTATAGTTCCAGGGGACTTGCTTTGGCCTTGCATTCCAGTGTTTGGTTTTGTTCTTCCTGTACATTTCTAGATAATCCATTGGCTTTGCTTTCAAAAGACGAGACTGTCCAATATATGCTGCTGCTTGGACAATAGCTAAAGGGAAAAGATGCAGCTCCTTATTGGTATCGATTGAGTGAACAATCAGGGTGATAATAACAAGTCGCTCACTTTGACAATTTGTTCAGCTACATCCATATCATTGACCTTCGAAATATTGAAGAACAAATTGAGAGCTTCAGATAGACTGAAATCAGTAATGTTGATTGACTTGTCAGCTGTATGGATGCTTATGTCTGGATTACGTGATGTGATCAGAATATTCCCATGATTGCATTGTGGAAACCATTCTCTAAGATTGATATTCACATCATCTGCATTATCAAAAAGAAGCAGCCATTCCTCTGTGTTCCCAACTAGCCAAGCTTGAGCTTTAGCCACTGAAATATCCAGGTTCTTGATTCTTGCAATATCCATATAGCCTGTTTGGAGGGTGTTGCTATCTGTTGCATCAATTTTGAACTGGTCTGTGAACCTTTTGTAATGTCAAGTAGGTTGGAAAATTTCAAAGCTGGATAACCAACCTGTGTTTGGCCATCTCAATGAACTTGAGGGCTGTCTCCGTTTTTCCTATCCCTCCAAGACCATGAAGAAGGACAATTTTCCTATCATCATGGCTGCTCGCTCCAAATAGCTCTGTAAGCTCATCCAAGATATCTTCTCTACCAGTGAAGAAGTCACAGGGAGGAGGACATCCTTGATACATAGGAGAGCTCATAACTGTGAATGTGATCAATTTCATGCACCAGCAGAGCAGTTAAGCTTACTATATGCATGACCGTGGCTGTCACCATGATTATGACCGTGACAGTGACCGTGGTCGCGACTGTGACTGGGAAAATGTGCATTAGAATAATAGAAAGAGGGATCTCAACATGCACACCTGTCAATGTATACGGAGTTTGTGCTGATCGAGAAGCTTGGACCCTGTCCAGGTCCCCCATTCCCTGCTCTCCCCCCTGCAGGCCCGCCATTCCCTCCGGTCCCTCCTTCGAAACACATGTACAGTCAGGTTAGTATTTCAATGGGAGCAGAAAGCCATACCGCTGACGCTCATTTGAATAACTTGAAGCTGGGTGCTCTGGGCGGCTGCTATGTCGTGCAGCGAGCTCATCGTTGTCCTCGATAGGTGGCGGGGAGACGGAAAGAGATGTGGTGTTCGTATATCTGACCCCCACATACACATCAGATTGATATCTGTCTGATGGTCGCATGCGCATGGGCATCGCCACAATGATGGTTTCCTGCTGCCACGTCACCAGCAACAGCCGTTCGTCCAGTGCTCACAAATGGCGAGCGGCCGCAGCACATACTGGCCAGTGCAGCAGGCAGTGCTGTGGCCACCCGGGCCATGCTTCTCTTGGGCTGGACATGTACAGCTTGTCTGCGCAGTGTCCTTCTACTAGACTCCAGTCACTACAGTACTTACTACTGTGCCTCGAACACCCCCAGTCGAGCTGGCACCGCGACGCGCGACACACCGACAGATAGATCCCGTTCCGGACAGCGATTCTAACTGGCTATGCCCCTAACTACTTACTCCCACGCGCTGCTTTGCTATTCTCCATCCCCACTGCCCCCTCCACTTCCCGGCCTTCTCTGCCCGGCTCAGATCCCCTCCTGGCCTGCCACTCCCACTCCACGCGGCTACTACTAGGCCCACTGGATTCATCCGCGTCCAATCCTTGCACGTCACTGGCACCCCCCGCTCGGCGCTTGCCCGGGCTACACGCGTCGCTGCCAGTGTCTCGGCGGGCGAGGCGCGATCGGCGCGGTCCCCGCTTAACCTCGATGGGCACAGAGAAACACCCTCCTTAAACGGGGGGTGTTGCAGCAGACTTTGACCACTGGCAGGCGACAACAGCCCGGGCCAGGCGTCCAGAAGCACGGGCACTTGGAAACGGAGAGTGTGACATCGCCGGGCACCTGCACCCAACCCCGGACGCCCATCGCAGCCTCCCCGCTGTTCCGCACTTCCAGTTTCCCACCAGCACTAGCACGCGCGCGTGACTCCGAGTCCGCGTGGAGACAAAACGTCCTTCTTTCCCTTCCTAAAACACCGAACACGCACACGCCCGTCGAGCCCGCGCCTCGACAGGCTGACAGATGGATCCCGTTACGGGCGTCGAGCGACCGTTCGATTCGATTCGATTGGGTTCACCGCCCTAAGTATTGCTTTCCCATCCGGCCTTCTCTGCCTTCTGCTTCCGTCCCTTCGGATCTCCTCCTGGCCACGAGCGTTCCCACTCCCACTCCCACTCCTTCGCTGCTTTGGGCAACAGCCCGGACACAGACACGCCACGGCCCGGCGTCCCGGACGCAGAACGGTCCATCACTGCCAATGGGCCCAAGCCCGTCCTCGCCGCGCGCGCTTCTAGCTCCCTCGTCGTCCGCGCTGCCCGGCAGGCACAAGTTGACGCGGAGGCCGGAACCCGGACAGCGCCGCGAGCTTCATAGCCATAGTTGGATTTGGTCATTCGACCACGCCTGCCGCCCATCACGGCGATCACGACGCGCCGCCGCCGCCGCCGCGGTACTGCGGGTGCGCGAGCTGCACGCCGTCGGCGTCCGCGCCGGGCGACGCGCTGTCGCCGCGGTCCGAGCCGGCGCTGGCGCTGTTCGGCGAGTACGGCCCGGCCGCCGCGGCCTGCTGCTGGGCGTGCGCGTGCTCGACCTTGCGCGCCGCGCTCTTCAGACGGGAGTGCTGCCCGCGATGGGAGATGGTCGGGTACGTGCATGGAATGTTCCTCCGAGCACACTGACTGTTTCAATCAGCAAAACAATCCCAAAGGAGAGGGTAAAACGCACTTGCACCGCCCGTCAATCGTCCCGTCGTCCGGGCGCCCACACGCAATCTTGCGTTCGCGACAAAAGAAGCATGAAAGTGCCTGCTTCTTTGCACGTGCGCCGCCGGGTCCGGGACGCGCGGCGTACGCGAACCGCAGCTCGGGCTCGTACTGCGCGCCCATCGGCGGCGGCGGCGGCGGCCCGGGAAACGCCGTCGCGGGCGGGGACGCGCTCGTCGGCGTCGGGGCCGACACCGACACGGGGCTCGGCCGATAGCCGTACGGCGACTGCGGCGAGGGCGGGGGGATGGGCACGGCGCTGCCGAACCGCGCGAGGTCCGCCTTGCTCAGCGGGTGCGGGGGCTGTGCGGCGGGGGGGGTGGGTGTCAGCCGTGGGTCGTGGGAGGACTCACGACTCTGAGTGGCGGGAGCGTGGCGTAGCGCTGCACCGGCGGGCCGGCCCGGGGCCGGGGGAGCGGTGTGTCGAGGCTGCAGTCCGCAACGAGCTCCTGGTAGGAGGGCAGGCGGATGGCGGATGGTTTGGGCGGGGGCGATGGAGACGGGGACATGGAGAAGGGCTAAGGCGTGTTGACGTGAGGACGCCGAGTTTATATGGGCGTGCTTGTGCGTCATTCCGCGCCAGCCGATTCGTCCACGCTGCACGGGCGAACCAATCTTCCGCGTGCGCACGGGTATCACACGTCGGGCCGCACCCCCGGTTCTGCCCTGCCAAACCTGGCCTTTGCGCACGCTCGCGTGGTACCGGACGCTATGCCTCGCCCCCGCGCTTGCCTACTGCGTCTCCCTCTAGCATCGAGAGAGCGTCGCGGCCCTTCGCCCGCCTCCGCGAACCACGGCGCAGCCCTCGCTTCGCACCCACGCGGCTTGAGCGATCACCGAACAGCAGTGCAGTGCCCTTACCTAAATCACCCATCACTGATATCGGCCCCCCGCATCCGTCCACGCACTCAATCTCCGTGATCCGGGCCGCGCTCGGTGCAGGACCCGTCTCGACTCTCGGGTGCAGTACCCACGCACTCCCAGGAGGCCAGCGACCCCATGACCTGATCGGGACGCAGGTGGGTCAGCGGCCGGCGCTCCTCCCAGCCTCAGAAAAAAAATGTTACAACACTAGTACTGGTAGCTTGTACTACAAGCCTTGTAGACTCACACAACCAAACTATTATCCACAGTCTATATATAAGGTCAGTTATCACCAAAAATTATTTGCTTTTGTCCCTGTAGTATACCATAGTTAAGGGTTTTGATTTCTGTGGTTGAGGTTTCAGGCCTGTATTGCAAGTGTCTATGGAATTCATAGTGTCTCTCAACAGATTTGGAATCCTCCGATCAACTCATCATCACTCTACAACAAGCCAGTACTATATGCAAACTCAATGCAAACTTTCAAAGTCTCCAAAGCTTGACTTACCAAGTGATTAGTATAGGGATCTTGCAGTTCAAATGTCTTGGGCTTTCTGAAGCTTAGTGAGGTGAGTGTCAGGGGAAACCCTGATGCCGTGACTTGATCCCATTAAGTGCTGTGTCTCCGCTCGCATCTCTGTGTCTCCACACCCAATGCTCTCCCTCTACTGCCTTCACCACATCTGGTATCTAGTGGTCCTCAGTTACCAACTCCATGGCCACCCCTTTTTGATTCTCTATTATATTATATTATAATTTTGGAAGCAATGATCTTACAATGAAATCCAGCATATGTTTTTTTAAATGTCAAATGGGTCAAAGACAATAGCTTAAGTAAATTGAGTTATGTTTTTTTCCCTTTCATAAGACATGATGTATGCAAAGTACACAAGGAAAGTACAAAGAGGTTGGGACTGCCTGTTTAGCCACCTTGCAAACCACCGTAGGGTTACCATATATACCCTTATTTGTAAACCGCTAGGACAGGCTGGGTCTTACTCATCATTATCAAAAGTGAGCCTCCCTAAGTGTTTATTTTAAATAAGCATAAATAAGACATGAAGAAGAAAAAGATGGGAGGGTAGGCATGGGTAGAAACAATAGTAAGAAATAGGAAATGGGTCGAAAAGGGGAATTGATATCTATTTTGTTTGCATCATAAGTAAACTGCTTAGGTGGGCCTAGGCCCTTAACATACTGATCACGCTGTGCCATTAATGAATGATGCAGGTACACCTACTCCCTAACCCAGCTATATCAACCTGGGATACCAGCCTCAAAACCTTTTGTGACGCCTAAGCAGTAAACACTTCAAGTAGAGGCAGGCCTACCAATGCAAGGGCTCCTCTTCCACATGCATCACATTAGCACGTGCCACGGTGGGTACATCCAAGATACTTGGCCCCTGCCTATCATAGGCAAAAGATGGTTGTCTACATGCAATAAGAAATGTTTAAATTATAAATTTCCTGCGAGAAAGGAGTATACTGTAATAATCCATCCAATTTGGGTGTCACAGGTCACACCCATTTTTCAAAGACCCTGCCATTAATTTTTCTTGATTTTTCCAAACTTCTGGTACAAATCATCGAAAATTGATGCCATCATTTTGGCGAACTGAATGGATTGGTATAGTATACCCTACTCATCCCTGCGTGTAGGGTGGCTTTGCAGCTTCTGATAAGCCCTGGGATAGATTTGCCTTGTCTCTGTTATGATATGCTCTATCCTATATGATTCTGTATATGTTGGCACAGAGCTTAGATAATCAGGGCCTGGAGTCCTTCCCCGGCATGGGATGATCTGGTTCCACAGCTTAATAGACTCACTGACTAGACCTAAGTGGCCATATGTTAGCGCAAGCAGTCTCTCCACCAGAAAGGTATATGGATGGCCAAGGCCAATAACCCTTGCACACTGCTGCCAAACCTGCTCTCCTAACTCTCGAGCCTCCACATGCTTGCCCATATGGTAATATGTATCAGTAAGCAAGCACCTTGCTTCAATTGTATCAGGATGTTCATGCCCTTTAATTTTCTCTAACTTCTGAAGAATGTTTGTTCCTAGCATTTGAGCCTCAGTAAAGTACCCTGTATATCTAAATATTTGGTGAACTTTTGATTGAAATGAGATTGGTATTTGTGCAGGTGTCCATACAACTTTCTGAAAATGTTGAACCAGACCTATACAATTATGAAGTTCCACTAGGATCATAGCCGACATTCCTAACAGCTGTATTACCATCTGCTGTTGTCTCTTCGGATGTGAGAGTGTCAATTTGGTCCACTCATGTACCAATGGGTGCATATAATATCCATCATCCCGAAGAGTAATCAAAGAGTAAGCTTCTATAGCTGCCATAGTGCTTTCAAATAGCAGCTCATCCCACTCCCCATGCTGGTCTAAGAAATGTGATAATAATTGCTTTGCCTGGAACAATGATTCTGGCATGTGTCCCAGTTCTTCTGAGTCTTCCCACTCCCACTCTAGTACATTCCAGGCATACTGAGATGCACTTTTGAATAGCCAGCATATCAGGAAAGACCGCGAGCGCGGCCCATTCCGCCCTCATCATGCTTTCCGGGACCTCAAATGCTCCACAGCCAGCCACCCGACACCCCAGACAAGTCGTGTATCGCCAGTCGATCAAAGACAGCCGCCCAGAACGGCGGAGAGCGCGAGGAAACGCGCGCGTCGAGCGATGACGCGCGACGCGTGGCCGCAACGAGGCCACCGAGCTGCAAGGAGCACCAACATGCAAGACCCGCCGCAGCCAGGCAAGAAGTGGAGCCACCGGGACAGGAACCACAGGACTCACCTCCAACCGACACCAAACAGCGAAGAACGGGTGTTGGCCGTCCCCAATTCCTTCCATCCCACCATCCAACTGCTCCCATACGATAGATACGGCCATAGAAAGACGAAGCGCCGTTCAGAACAACGAGACACGCGCGAGATCACGGGCGTCGAGCGATGACGCGTCACCCAAGTCAAACGGGCCGGCCAGCAAGACACGCGACCCGAAGGCGCCAGGAAAGCGCAAGACCTTCGCCAGAGACCCAAGACGAGCACACGGCGCTCGTGGGGTAGGGCAGAGCTCGTCAAAGACGGTGTGGTGGTGGTCGAGAGCAAAGAAGCAAGTGTGAGAACGTTGATCGGGGACGGACCGAGTCCGCCCGGTGACCGACGATCCGGTCGGATTAAACCGAGATCGCCGACGAGATTAGATAGACTACACGAGGCAAGCCGATAACGACCATCTCTGGCTTAGCCCCAACGAGATAACGACGATTCAGCAACGATTGAGCTTAGATAAGGAGGTAACACACAGATAAGGCTCAGATAGGCGAGAAAATAGAAATAAAAGGGTAATAAGCCAGCGGGGGAACGTGATCAAGTATGCTACAAACTCGAACTTAAGTGAGAAAAGGGAGATAAAATTCAAGAAAACTCTAGATAAAATTCAGGAAAATTCAGGACAATTTTACAAAGCTTGGTATATACAGAGAAGTCCAAGGGATATCAGACTCTATTATAGACATATGGTTGGGAAAAATTATGAATCTAGAGAGAAGAAGCACACAGATAGTGAATCATCGCTATCAGGAACTGGAACTCAAATGTTCTTGCATGGCATACAACAAACCCAGTGAAAAATGTAGCTGGAAGTGATGAAAAATGTAGTCAGAATATTGTTGCTTCAGATGACCGAGGACGGTCAATATTTATAAAAAGGGGAGATAATGAGCTGTCAATATGACAACCAGTGAATAATGCTAGGAGGGCTCTATAAATTCATTTTGAAGCACAATAATCATGCCATATATATAGAACTTCCAGTAGAATTGTTCTAGACTTTAGATCTATTCCAGAAGGGACCAGCCGAGCGGTCTACACAGTTCTAGACCTATTCTAGACATAGACCTGGTCTAGAAACTGAACCGAATAAGAGTCTCGGTAATCTGGCCATTGTGCATCAAGGAGCATGCTTGCATAATTTCTTGTGCAATAGGAGGCAAGCTATCAAAGCTAACTTTCCAAGTGGTATAGACAGTGGCACTATAGTCCCATGCAATCTGAGTGGGTTTTTCCCTCCAGCATTTTTCCTTGTTTCTCCTATAAAGATGAAGATACTTTGAGGGGTTTTCTTTTAGTTTTGCGGGATTGTGAAATAAAAGCAGCTGCTTGTGCAAGTGCTAAAGGAAAGTAATCAAGTTCCTGCCACATCGGTCAACAGCACATACTAGACTACACATCATGGTCTCACCTTTGCCAATTCTCCAGCTATTACCCTGTCATTGATATGAGCAATATTGCAAATTATATCAATTGCCTCCTGCTGGTGTAGATTGGATATGCATACAGCTTTTTGGGTATGTATGTGCAGCTCTGGATTGCGTGATGTAATCAAAATATTGCCATGATTGCAATGAGGCAAATATTCTCCAATGTTGAGTTTCACATTATCAGCATTATCAAACATGATGAGCCATTCAGCAGGATTGTGAATGAGCCATGTGTGAGCTGCCATGCTTGAGATGTCCTTGCATTTAAGCCGGGCAATTTCCCTATACCCCATGTCAATAGTTTTTTCATTGCTTGCATCTATCTTGAACTGATCAGTAAACCTGGGAGTATCAGTCTAATAAATTCTGTCATATGCTGAATATGCTCACCTTGGGCCTGAGTCAGCAATAAACTTGAGTGCTGTCTGTGTTTTTCCTATCCCACCCAGCCCATACAACAATGCTCTCTTTTGACCCCCCTGACTTGTTTCCCCAAAGAACTCTTGCATTTGGGTCAAAGTGTCTCCACGGCCAGTGAAAGTGTTTGAAGGTGGAGGGCATCCATGATATGGTCCTGTTACATAGCCAATTTTAGCTAAATAAATAAAACATATAGTGGACTGACCAATGTCATCATCAAGACCCAGGCTACAATGAATGTTATTCAGCATATAGTCAACATCTGTAAATTGGGAAGTAGACAGACCTAGGCATGGAGATATGGTAGTTGATCTTGTTGAAACTATTATACACCTCTGGTCCTCCTCCAGCCCCCCCATCGCCGCCCATGTTGTGCCCATTTCCTCCACCTCCTCCGTACCCACCTAGTCGGACTTGTATTCAACAACTGAATCCTGATGTGGAGCAATGCGACAAGGAGTCCAACATACCACTGATATAGATAGTTCCGTTGTGCGTTAGCGAGTCCATGGCTGCAGAGGCCCAGTGGTGAGATGGTGGTGCGGACACAAAATCGATGTGGTGGAAGCTGTGCGGCTTGGCCCCATCAGCACTGCCTCGCATCAGACCGCCCCGTCATCTCTTGCCCGCCCGGCAACACACATCTGCAACTGGCGGGCTCCTCTCCCTCCCACTTTCCCACCAGCAGGCGCGTGACTCCGTGGCGACACAAGCACCCAACCAAAGCTCCTCTCCACCTTCAAACACCCAACACGCACTGGCACACACGCCCGTCGAGCCCGCGCCTCGACAGATAGATCCCGTTCGCTATCCACCGACTACTCCCACGCCTGCCTTCCCTTTTCTATTCCTTCTCGGGCCTGTACTTTGGATCTCCTCCCGGCCACTGGCACTCCCTTCCCACTCCCACTCCACGTAGGCCCAGCCACCTAAGCTCCGCGTCCGAATCCTCGCACGTCGCAAATTCGAACCCCGTTCCGTGCGCGTGCTTCCTCGTCCTCGCGCTATCATGATCGCCGTTCGCTGCTGTGAGAAACAGGCGGCAGGCCCGCCGCCCGATCAAGGTCCGGCCACCCGGCCCCCGAAAGCTCCGGTCCTGTCCAGCAGCAATTGCGGGTCCGTGCTGTGCTCGCTCACTGCCCCATCATTCTCTTGTCCTCCCGGGCCCGCCCGGCGCAAAGGGCGGACGAATCATTCGTAGCTCCAATCTGGATGGCGGCGTGGCGCCGCGGCCACGGGACCATTCATAGCCATAGTGGCACGGTGTGGCCTCTATCCGACTATCACGGCGATCATGTGGGTGCGCCAGCTGCGTTGTATGAGATCGGTATGACGCGTCACGGTGTGAGTCCCAGTCGGCCTGCAATTCCCGCCGTGCCTGATTTGAGTAACAGAAATCACGATGGAAGAGGGAGAACCGGAGCCCCGAAAAGCAGTGTGGACGCTTTCGTGTGCTTTTGACTCGTGGGACGGCGAAGTCCGAAAGCAAATACCCAGCCTGAGGATCCCCCTGCGCAACCGTGCACACGCCCGACGCGGGCGCGGGCGGGGTCGGCCAACTGACCTCCGGGGACTGGGAGGTCACCTCCCAGTCGCACATTCAGAAATCGGGAAGCCGGGCCGAGTATCTGATGAGTATAGCACAGTGCGCTGATAGCATTAAGCACTCCTGCGCCCGATTGGGCTCTGCCAGAAGCACGGAACACGTACCCCCCAGACGGCGTCTTTCGAACTCCGTCCATCGCAGGCTGCCAGTCCCCGGGCCACTGGCAACTGTCAGTGTCAGTCGTAGTCCAAATCACACAGCAAGTTTAGATTCGATACCGATTCTCAAACGGTGCCCAACTTGTGCCCAACCCTCAATGCTCGTCCTGGCCAAGCCTGCCCAACGGCGTTTCCCCGAGTCCGCGCCTCATCCATCGCACGCACGCGACCTGGTGAATACCCCGGCAACTCCCGCCCACCTTGCCTTCCACACCCTCAACTCCCCGCTGTCCCGATCGCTCCTTGCCAACTCAACCCGGGATCCCATCCGTCTGTCCTCCCGCAGCGCCGTCGGGGGACTCGGACGCGCCACACCACCCGGCGTCTGTGGCAGTCCCCGCTCGCGTTGAAGCCTTTTGAAACCGGATCCACAACGGCGTTTTCGTCCCACAAGCACAGCGATCGCCGACCAAATTGCGGCCCGCCAGCACCCGCGCTAGCGCCTCGCGTGGGCCCGGTTGCGATCACCAGCCGGACCAAGTACCTGCGTCTTCAATCAAGCGGTTGCGCGCGACTCGCACGATGGGCCGGAAGCTCTGCCAGTGAAATTCGTTATCCTGCGTTGATTTGCGCGAACTCTAAAATACGACCTACATGCGATCTCCGTCTTCTGCTCATCTTCCCCTCCTGTAACGGCCTTCATCGCCTGCATCCACCGCCCAAACAGCGCCGACTCGGACCGGCCCGTCCCTCCCCACCTGCGCAATAAGGCAGGCATCCCAACAACCAGCACAACCCGGACCGCCCATCAACGTGCCCTGCGGATCCGTCCCGCTTGCGCAAGGAATTCATAGCAAAGTATTCGCCTCCCAACGGGAGGCCGCTCGTCCATCGTCCACCCATCACGGCGGTCACGACATCTAGGGTGCAGGATTGAATTATGGGCGGTTATTAAAACCGGTTTGAACTCCCAGCCGATTTAGAAACCGGTTTGCAAACAGGGATTGATTAAAATCGCCTAAAATGGCAATTTTTGACCTTTTGAATCATTTTTTGGGCTAGCATATGTATTCACTTGTCCTTTTACACCATTTCTCAAGCTTTCAGGGTACCCCTTGCTATCCTAAGTTATATTCTGTGTTGTCTGTATATGGTGTGACCCTATCACTGATGTGACGGTAACACTTGGAGCCTTTAAAAGACCTCCAGTGACATTAAATGGAGAGTAACAATGATGTTACCTGTATAGCTGTAAGTATAGCTGCTACAGCATGAGCCAAAGTCTGTCTAGAACCAGTGAATTGCCTAATTTTCCCACGGGTCATGTGTTTTGAAACAGCACTTTTTCTGGAAATAATTAAAAACAGTGGTTTGAAACAGCTGTTTCGAAACGCGGTTTGAAACACCACTTAAATCCTGCACCCTAACGACATCCCGTGGCCGTAGCGGCTCTGCGCGTGGAGGGGCAGCATAGGCACACCGGCATATGACTCGCGTGAAGAGGCCGACAGCGGGCTCGCGCCCACGGTGCGCTCGGGTGACGACGAGACCGACATCGACTCGGCCTCCGGGCCGGCGCCTTTATGGCTGCGGTGTCTGCCCCGCGCGGCGCTCTTCAGGCGCGAATGCTGGCCCCGGTGAGAAACAGTGGGGTATGTACACGCAATCTTGCGTCTGGCGCACTGACTGGTTCATGCTTCAGCGCCAGAGCGTAAAGGCAAAAGACAGAAACGCACTTGCACCGACCATCCACACTCCCGTCCTCCGGCCGCCCACACGCGATCTTGCGCTCGCGACAAAAGAAGCACGAGAGCGCCTGCTTCTTCGTGCGGCCTGGCGGCCCGAAGCCGGGGCGCGTGGCGTGGCTGAAGCGAAGGGGTTCGCTGTTGAGCGGCTCGTACTGCGGGAGCGGCAGTTGCTGCTGCGGGATGACTGGCGAAGGGCGAGACGTCACGCTCGACGCGGAGGATGGCAGAATATGCAGAGGGCGAGGTCCACTCCTTGTCGGGCGGCGGTGCAGCAGAGAAAGCGGTCGTGCACCGCACCAGGGCCGTTTTCTCTCCGCAATGGCCGCGTTGGCTGTCGTCGTCAGCAGGGAACAGCAAGAAGAGCTAAGCCTACGCAACGCACGACTTTGAGTGCCGGCAACACGACGCCCCTTGTCGGTTTGGGCGCGGGCTGGAACGGGGCGCGCGAAGGGGCCGTCGATGTCGGCAGCGAGCGAGCTCCTTGTACGACGGCGGGCGGATGGGGTGTGGCATTGGCGGGGGGAGCGTCTGCGTGGCCATGGTGGTGGTGGTGGTGGTATGAGGACAAGAGACGGGGCTTGACGTGTACGTATGCCTTATAAATTGCATAACCCGTAGATCGGATCTCGATCCCCTCGGCCCGGCCTTTGCGCATGACGGGCCCATGCTTAGCTGCAATCGTGTGCTGCCTGCGCGTTCCGGCGACCGGGCTTCGCCTGAGCAACGGCGCGTTGCCAGGACCCAGCAGGATGAGTGGCCTTGCCTCGCATCCATCTTGTGCGGTCCGACAACTGCCAGTGCTTGTCGCAGCCAAGCTGGCTGCCACCGACGCTGACGCCACCCCGCCCACGTCATCCGTGCCGTCTCGCCGTGCACGCGACGGCGAGATCAACTCACCCTGAGGATTCAGAAGAAAACTGGAGGATTTTTAGAAATTTTAATGAGGGTAATAATTGGCCAAAAAAGGGAGACCTTTATTTGTTGGAAAGAAAGAATCAAAAAGACCCAATAAATAGAATAGCAATCTTGTCACAAAAAAACGGCAATCAATATTATAATACAAAAAGGCTCCTTGTGACCAAAAAAGTTTCATTTTCCACCCTACAGGCAAGCTCTTTTTGCCACAATCTGGGCAGCTGTTTTCCCCCATAGATTTATTTTCTATCCACTTGACCTTTTTCAACTCTTTTTTCCAATCAATAAAGATGTCAATCAACGTCAGCATCAATATCTGATGATCCAATCAATATCTTATTGTCCATCTTATCTCCTCCTTGTCTTATCTTATCAACCAGGGCCAGAATAAAAGCTTTAAAAGGTGAAGAAACAGGTTTCTTAAACCCAGGGTTTGACATTCCCCAGTATGAACATGGGCAGGAATAGATAAACAACTGCCTAGCATAAATATTTAAAATTGTTTTAAAAAAACTATGTGAGTAGCGATGGCAGCTTCCAGTTCAACTTTCTGGTTTGAACCTGACACTGGGTGCAAACCCAAAGGCAGTTTGCTAATGGGAGCCCCAACAGGAGCGGAAAGAAAGACAAAGATTTCTTTGTTTCAAACAAAGGAAAAAAATTTGCTTTCAAACTCCCGTTGGACCCCCCTTAGCCAACTGCTATCGCACTTGCTACCAGTGTGAACCAAACCAAGCTGAACATGTGTTCAGGTCCAGAGTTATCAGCTTCCAGTAGCTTTTGCTTAAACATGTTCAAACACTGAACACTGGAGGATCAGGTCCCCTGTCAGGGGAACCTCCCTTTCCGCCCCTCAGAGACGATTCTGATTCCGGTCCAATTCCGGTCTCGATTACAGTCCTGCCCTGCATCTCGCTACACAAACACTGATCTGTCAATGCCCTCCCGACGGCTGTGACGCTGCCCAGACCTTCTGTGCCTGACAGCCGCAGCTACAGGCAAGCATTATATATAGTCAGCTACCTAGCAGGCGGACCCTTGGAGTTTCTTCTCTTTGGATCCTCCCCTGCCCTACCAGGACCTTGATCTCAGGTTACACTGCTGTGATAGAATCTATTTATATTGGAGCCTTAATATACTTAAATATTTCCTTTTGGGGAAAGTGCTTATTTATTGTTTGTATCACTTTGATCACATCATTGATCACATCAATGTTCCGAAATGCATTGAACGTGCTGTGATCAAAGTGTTATTGACTCTGCAATTCAGAACAATAAGTCTCTTTGTGATTCATTTTAACACCTGACTTGGAATATCTCACCATAATTGTTTCTGACTATGCATTAACTCTGCATGACAGTGCACTGACTGTGCATGACTGTGAATAGTAAATACTGTGCATTTGACTGTGCATGCAGGAACAATAGAGTTTAGTAATAAACTGACTTGAAGTTAAATGGCTGTGTTTTGTATAGTCATAAGCTTATTTATTAATGACATATAATTTATAAATGAATAACTTGTGGTATACAATTGACTTATACCCTATACTCAACTCAGAAGCCTTTACATGAAGTACTCAGATACTAAAGTATTGGAATTATTCATTCCATTATACAATGATTATTCATTTCTATGGAAGTTGCACAATTCCATATGGCTTGTCAGGTCTAACCCACTGGGCTGGACCTGATAGTCCACAGTGATATATAGGCCATACAGGTGGTATACAGAAGCCTTTATCCGAGGTTATATGGAGAACCCTTTACTCTGTAGGTTAACACAAGCTTTGCTTATACAGAGAAGCCTGGACTCTGGGGTTAAACAGAGGCCTTACTCTGAGGATATATGGAGAAAGCATTGAGTCTGAGATTATACCAAGATTAACATTTCTATTTTCTTTTTACAGTAGCTTTACTGTTTTTGTTATCCTCTTATTCTAAGAGAAGACTCAATCAACTGACTTGGAGTATTGTTTGATATTTTGGTGTCATTACATGACCTGAACTGAACCCTAAACACATTATCAATTGATAACACAAAATTGTACACCATATGCTACATCCATCAATTATCAATTATCTCTGACTACATGTTTTGCTAATAATACACTTAGAAAATAAGCAGTAGAGCAGATTAATGATTAGAAGCAAGGTCCTAAGAATCAAAATCCTATTTAGGTCTAGTACACATACAGCCTTGAGAAGCATTCTCAAGCATAGCCCTGGTGTCAAACCAGTACTATGGTAACCTTCCCACACTAGTTCTGATGTTTTTGTCAGGGGAACCCCTGCTTCGGCCTCCTTCGGACCGTCTGAGTGCATCCGAGGCACATCCGACCGGCACCCCCTCGGACGCTCCGACCTACCCCGACCATTGTCCACGGCCTCCTTCGCCCGCACAATCACCGATCCGTCAAGACCCTCCCAATGATCACCTTGGGACAGAGCCTGCGACGCCCGCTCAGGCCTTCTGTGCTCTACGTCGGCAGTTATGGATGACCAGTATATAGTTGGCGCCCTAGCAGGCGGACCCTTAGAGTTTCTTCTCTTTGGATCCTCCCCTGCTAGGCTTTTCGTCGGAGTCTCCAGGGTTGCCCTTACAGTTTTGACAGCCTATTGCATGATCAGAAAGCACTGCAAAGCTCTACAAACTTGGTCTTTTTGTACAACTATTTCGATAATAGTGGTTGTGAGTGTGATTGTGTGTTGTGCATTGAAAATCAAGAAAATTCATAGAGTTAGGACATTTCAGGCATAGTCAATTTCCATGCTTGTAACTAACAACCGCCATGATCAATCAAAGTGGATTGATAGGTATTCCTAATCCGGGAGACTGCCGCTACTATCAGTCTGCCATACATCACACCAGGGGCAATGCTAGCGTCAGTTGGCTAATGGCAGACCTAGCGGCAGTTGGGCAAAGACAAAGGTTTCTTTGTTTTTAACAAAGCAAAAAAATTGCCTTGCAAACTACCAGCAAACTGCCATATGCTATCTGCCGCTAGCTTTGCCCCTGGTGTCATCCCTTCAAACGTCTATGAGATGCTTGGCTAGCACACTGTGCCTGCTTCTTGGACTATTATTTGCACATTTGGGCTTGCGTTTTGGGTTTGCTGTTCAAATACAGTCCTGAGCACTGAAACGCGCAAAACGCAAGAGATTGTAATGGCAACCTCAGTGCCATCCCAACATCACCAATACACATTGTGAATCATCCAGCACATTCCACTAACTCTTACATGACTCTTGTACAGGAATGACTCAGTATTTAAATTAGTATGAATACTATACATTCTGTACTACTCTATATCAAATACTAGCTCTGTTTTTCAACAATATGAAACAAGAAACAAGAAACAAGAAACAAGAAACAAGAAACAAGAAACAAGAAACAAGAAACAAGAAACAAGAAACAAGAAACAAGAAGCAAGAAGCAAGAAGCAAGAAACAGGAACTACTATATAGGCAAATGCTAGCAACTATCAAATATAGACATATACACAAATAAGCAGTCCTCCTAGATTCATAGTGTTGCTTTTAGATAATTTCATCTCTATTCAGCCCTAGCGTGCTTTACTCCTCATGGACAAATTGCTGGAGGAGTTCTTGAGCTTCTGTGTGTTTGCCTAGCTGAGAATAAATCATTGCAAGATGTTTCATGTCATTAATGACTCTTGCATGTCCACGGCCAAAAATTCTTTGATTCTGCTGAAACACCTGAACTTGCAGCTGTTCAGCATCAGTGTATTTTCCCAGTTGGTAATAAATCATTGCAAGTTGATCCTTGGCAATGATTGTGTCAGAATGTTCAGGACCTAGAGTACCAAGAACCTGCTCAAGAACCTGCTCTTGCAACTGATGTAACTCTGCATATTTGCCCATCTTATAGTATGTCATAGCAAGGTGCCTTCTTGCTGTAATAGTAGCTGGATGCTCAGACCCTAGAGTTCTGCTATGCTGCTGAAACACATATTCATCTAGCTCTTGAGCCTCTGTATATTTGCCGAGCTGGCAATATGTTGTTGCAAGCCTACTTTGTACTGCAATAGTACTAGGATGTTCAGGCCCCAAAATTCTGGAAAACTGCTGAAAAGCCTGTTCTTCTAATTGTTGAGCCTTTTTATATCTGCCAACTTTATAGTATAGCTCTGCAAGATTCCATCTAGCCTGAATAGTATCAGGATGTTCATTCCCTAAAACACCAATACGCTGGTAAAGAACCGCACTTTGCAGCTGGTAAGCTTGTATATATTTACCCTGTTGACTATATGCTGCTGCAAGGTTGTTTCTCATAGTGATTGTATTAGGGTGTTCATCTCCTAAAAGACTTGCATGCTGTTGAAGAGCCTGTTTTTGTAGCTCCTGAGCCTGTTTATATTTTCCTAGTAGTGCATATGTTGTCGCAAGTTGGCCACCAGCCCATATAGTATCTACATGTGCAGGTCCAAGAGTTTTCAGATACTGGAGAGCAAGTTGTTCTTGAAGCTCTTGTGCCTCTGTATATTTACCCATATTTTTGTATGTCACTATAAGGTTGCTTCTAGCCTCCAGCGTATCTATATGTTCTTGTCCCAAAACTCTGACACACTGCTGAACTACCTGTTCCTCCAGCACCTGAGCTTC